AGTGCTACTCTACACTGCTCAAAACTCGCGTTTGAATAGTCAGTGGCAAATTCTAAAAAATTTAGAAGAGCCGGCATTGTAGTCTACTCTACTAGGATCAGGAAACAGACCTCCATAAAATGTGCGGCACACATCTGAATATTTGGGTTTAACTGTTCTGGAACAGTGTTGTAAATACAACTTAACCACTGATTTCTAGTCGTGTCCTCTTTTGGAAGGCCAAACAAAGTAGTTTCACTTTCACAACGAAACACACAGCATCTCCACAACATGGCGGCGGGGCCAACAACAATACTACAGTGAGAATAAAAGTTCCGCCTTCTTTCTTTGCGTGAACATTTGGGCGGCGTTATGCAAATCTTCCCACATCGTGACATAGACATGTGGGGGCGTGTTAGAACGAGCCGTTTTAGGTAGGCGTGGTTGACTTAACTTTTATAAAGAATATCTCTTTGGATTTTAAACTTTAGTCTTTGCAACTTTACAGATCTTCTTTATGCACCAAGAGCTTGTAACACTTCAAAGAGAAAGGAAAAATTTAAATCGTATCATATGACCCCTTTAAAGCATGTCAACATATTCTGTTACACCAAATACACAAAATAATGATCTTTAAAATTGCATCATATGACCCCTTTAAAACATTTAACTCATTGAAACGTTGATATCGTTTCACTGCCCAGTGTGCCATGATTAATACAGTAGATGGAGTTGGGAATCGAGAAGGTCTTATTCTGAACTAGATTAATTTTGTGAAGTTATTATAAATAAGATAATGATTTTCATGACTTGACTGAACATTTGCAAAAATAACGCTGCAAACAACAAACACAAGTCATTGGTTGAGTCACACATATATATAAGATATATGGTATTAAAAAAATGAGCTAAAATTCAGCCCTCTCTGAATTGGAACAGGTCCATAAAGCTGTTTAAACTCTCACCTCATTGGATGAAGGTCAAACATGGGAGGTTGCAGTTCGGCTAGTTCAATGGCGGTGATGCCCACAGCCCAGATGTCACACAGGTGATTGTATCCTCCTTTCCTCTCCACGGCGGCCACCTCTGGGGCCATCCTGTTAACATGGGTTACAGACACACCATCACTCATTCATGAACATCTCCTACCTGATGGTTACGTAAGATGTGAAAAAGGCATCTGTGGCCTTGTAGAAAACTGCTGAATTATAAAAGATTAATTCTGTTTTTTTTTTTTAACCACAACAGCTAAATCATTTTGGATAGTTGACAAATAACATGGGTTTTTTTAATATTCAACATCAGGATATGAGGTTAACATTTCTATCACTGTGTAATGTAAAGAGTTTTCAACTAGTAATATTTGAGAATTTTTAAATCTACTTTTAGTGTTTTTTTTTGTTGTATTAAAATAGTCCTTAAGTGACAAATTCATTAAAAAAATACTCCAAAAAAAGAGGTCACAGAAAATGCATTCATAATAACTATTTAAAAAAAATGCATTTTGATTTTAAATAATGTATTGCATTTGTGGCACAATAGGGCTGTATACCAATAAGGAGTCCCGATGAAGGATTTTCTTTTAGCTAGTGTTGCTGTGATCTGTGCAGACACACCAAAATCAGCTGTAGAGAAAAAAAGAAAAGACCTTTACTACAATCCCACAAGCAACTCTCATTTGAGTTGTGTACAACTGATGCTACTATGCGTCTAATTCTGTCTTATGAATTATGAAATTTGAGAGCTGCGTAATGCCACAGCAGATCAAATGTGACAACATGATGTGGTACTCTGTCACCAACACAACATTTTTACACTTTTTTAATGATTTGAGTTCATAACATTGTAAGTAACTTAATTTCCCTGTTTTAAACATTAGAATGGAAGGAAAGTCTGTTATTTTCTTACCTAGCTTGACATAACCATTGTCCGTCAATAAAATATTGGCACCCTATTTCAAAAAGAAAAACAACAATAAAATGACATTGTAAGGTAAGAGTAAAACAACTATTATAAGAGATTATTAAATATATTACTGGTAGATTTGTGAGATAAAATGTAAAAATGAATCTGACAGACCTCAGAATCTAATTTTTTTCATTCTATAAAATTGCTCTTTCAACACCTGCTTTCATCTATGATCAGAGATGTGAAAGCAGCATCTGAGTCATACTAATTACATCTCCCTCTGGCCAGGGAACACATTTTCTCTTGCTTTACCAGTGATTTGGCTTTGGTTTCACCAAATCACCAAGATGTAATGAGCACTTAGTTTTTATTCACTGCTCAAACTTTACTTTCAATTCAGCAAGAACACATTAAACTGATCAAACATGTTTCAAATACATTACAAAATAATTCATATTTAGAAGAGGAATTGTTTCAAATATGTATATGCTTTATCATGTCTTTATTAAAAACATATAGCAACTAACTAATGGTGAAGTATGTAATTTCTGGACCACTAGTGGCTATACATAATTGCAAAAAAATGACATTACAGTTAAAGGAATCATTTCCTAAAATAATGACTAATTGTTAATGGAATCATCAAGGAATATGAATCAGAAAAGCTGGTGTGTGTAATTTCTGTGGCAAAAAAAATAATGATAATGATTTAAAAAAAGTAGGAGGAGGGTTTAGATTTGTCATTTGATTTGAATACAATTAAACCAATCAACTCCTTTCATTTAAGACACACAAAAGCTAGAATAAATCATGGTACCTTTATGTCTCTGTGCATCTTTCCTTTGTTGTGTAGGTAATATAAACCCTGAAAGCAAAGACACAAACACTAATTTTCATCCATAATCATCTTAAAAACACATTTACAAACTGCTTTATAGAGAACGGGGAGTATGAAATATCTGTCAACATGTCTACCATTAAAAATTCAAAAGCAGCTTTCATGGTCACAGCAGATTGCTTTGGTTGTCAAAACAAGTCCGGTAAAATGGCTTACCTGAAGGGTTTCTCTTGTTACATATGCTATCTGTGATTCTGTTAGTGGCCCAGTAACTGTAGAGACATATTTAGTGTGCATTAGCAGTAATATAATCTAAACAAAATCTATGAAAATCCCATTCATATTAGATTATTAGCTAAAATAGCCTGAATACAATTTAAATGTCTAAACAATATAAAAGTGTGTACACATCAGTTGAAAAATGAGGCATGAATAACTTCAGCACATTCGGCTTAAGCTTAAACTTGTTTAAATCAAGAAGACACATAACACTGATCCTTCTCATGCCACATTGAAAAAAAAAGTTTAACAAAAGCACCACTAACTGGTTTTATCCAGCAGACCAAGGACGAGATTATCAAGAACGCAAGAAACAATGTGACTGATTACACGTCCAACCTGAGAAAATATAGAGCTGAATTATTCTACAACTCTAAATGGACTACTGATGAAAATAACAGACTTGAAACTTTGCTAAAGAAGATTCAAAAGGCGACTGAGAAACTCATTTGTCTGTTCTCCAAAACAAAGCAGTATGTTTGACGGTTCGGAGCCTCTGACACTTCAGCAGTGCAGTTAATCTGCTTTAAGTCAAGAGACAGTTATTGCTGATTAAAATGTCACAAAAACAGGAAATGTGCTAATGGGAAGGAGTGAATAATAAATGGGCTGAAGGAAGAGAGAAAGAGACGGGCTTAAAATGATGAAATGGTGTCCACAACTCATTTTACATTTGAAATGTGATGCAAAATAAAAAGAGGGTGAGGTAATGTCATCTGAAAAGGAAAGTTGTTTCTGTGCAATTTTTTTAATTGATGATAAACAAATACGAATATTAAAAAGATTCTCTTTTCATTAGCATTACCATTTTTAATTTCATGTCGAGTAAAAGATTTTAAGTGAATTACACTACCATTCAAACGTTTGGGGTTTGTCATTTATTTGATTACAAATACAGTAAAACTGAAATTGTGAAATATTGTTACAACAGTCTTTTTCTCGTTTGTTGTATTTTAAAATGTAATTTCAAAGCTGAATTTTCGATCCTTCAAAACATATTCTAATATGCTGATTTTGCTGCTCATGAAACATTTCTTATCATTATCAATGTTGAAAACAGTTGTGATAGTTAATATTTTTACATTTTGTCAAAAAAAATTTTAGGAGTCTTTCTCTGGAGAACAGTTTCATTTGAAGTAGAAAACTTTATAACTGCCTTTACTGTGACTTTTGATTAATTTAATGCATCCTTGCATCAGGGGCGTAAAAACAGTTGGGGGGACAATAAACAAAATTTCTCAAGAGCAATTTTTGAAGGGGACACAAATAATACAGCTAAAATTGTACTTGTAAGGATATGTATACACAGAGGAAAGCCTTACTACTATTAGTGCAGCAGGGAGACCGTGCCAAATTAGACAACTTCAAGCTGTGGTCACGCCATGACAGCGCTCGTGTCCGTTGTAGACATTATTATCCATTACAGTGTAGCCAAGTCCGCGGTTTTCCCGTGGAATTGGGCTAATTTATCACTGTTGCCGTGGGTTGTTTTTCATGTCCGCGGGTTGAAGTGACCCCAATAACGTGTATTTTAGCCCCCGGAACGTGATTTTTACCGGGGGACCCCCCTCGAAACACGGTTAGTTTGGGTTAGTTTTGGGCTAGTTTTGAGTAGCAATTGGACGGGTTTTGTTGTGAAAACCTGGCAACCCTTTCCGTCAAGCAGGTAACATTATTATTACTAACATAGCGACTCATCAAAATCATCTGTATTAAAGAGAAAATAATCACTTCATCCGATGTTTAAGTGAATAAAACAGCCTTGACAGCCTTACTTACTGGAATTCCACAACTATTGACTTAGTTCTCTCTCACAGAACCTGATTCATGTCTCTTTTGTGTCTTTCTCTATTTGTTGTGTGTGGGAGGAGTCGGTCGGTCTCGGTTCTAATCAGGCCTTTGTCCCTGTAGCTGAGAGCAGCCATGGCAGCAGGAGGTTGATAACGTGTGATGTGAGGCTGGGCACTAAGCTAACACGTTAGCACTATAACACCATCTACCCCCCACCCCCCCACCCCACCCCGCGCAGAGGCTCAGGGATAACCGCAGAACTGCCGACAGCTGCCGTGAAAATTAGCTCTAATGATCTGACAGGGCCACTCTACTGAGTTCTGCTAAATTTATCTCCTGGGAACATAGAGGGATGCTTTCCAACAATGTAAGAAAAGATTTGTATATTTAGGCCATCTGTCAAGAATCAAATTGTTAATTGGAAGAGAGGAAAGTCTATTTATGTAAAAACTGGCATCGGAACTTTCAAAGCATTGCGGCCATCGTATCTACACTGTTTACGCTAGGACTTTTAGAGGAATGTTTGACCCAAAAATGAAAATTACGTGATTATTTACTCACTGTCATTACATCTCAGACTTTCTTTCTTACATGGAACACAAGGAGACATTGTGAACAATGTACAGTTTGTTCTTTGACTCCAACCGTCATGTGGATCACTTTTAGACACTCAAAAACCTCGTGGAAAAATAAATCTGACTGCTAAAATTCTTATTTTAGAATTATGTTGTGTTTTACAAAAGATATAAACTCATATGATTTTTACACAACATGGGGATGAATAAATTATGACAATTTTCATTTCTGGGTGAACTACTCCTTTAAATAATGAATGGAAAGGAGATACTGCACTGCACTGAAATACTGACCACTGAGTGAGTTTGAGTTAGTGTTGCAGTTGATTGTTTACCTTTATATGGTGTATCTTACCGTGATATACGTCTTGCAGTGAACCTCCCCCACAGTATTCCATACATATCCATAATTTATCCCTCCTGAAAAGCCAGAGAAAGAAAAACATCAACAAATTATATTTCAATCGATGCGTCTCGAAATAGTCCCCTGGCAGCCCCATAGGGAGAGTGAAAGGATGCACACTTTTCTGGGTCATGACACAGCAAGCTGGAGACAGAGTCATAAGTCACAAGCAACCTGCTTTTATCAAAAACACCCTTCTCTTTTTTTTCTAAGGTGCCTTGCACTAATGTCTAGACTAATATTTAAGAGATATACTGCTGATCAGAGACAAACCACACTCGAGCTGCCTATAGCTGTAAGGAAGACCAAAACAACATTCTTTGAAATTAGAGAATTCAAGTGAAGTTTTAGATGTTAGGTGCTTTTAGATTCAAACGTTACAACAAATAAAAATAGGCTATATACAGTGGTGTGAAAAAGTGTTGGCCCCCTTCCTGGGTTTTAAATTTTTTGTCACTGTTCCAATTTTTCTCAATTTGTAGATAATGGCTCTGACCGTGGTTCGCTGGAGTCCCAAAGCCTTAGAAATGGCTTTATATCCCTTTCCAGACTGATATATGTCAGCTGTTTTGATTCTCATCTGTTCTTGAATTTCTTTAGATCGCGGCATAATGTGTTGCTCTTTAAGCATGCTTCACTTTGTCAGACAGGTTCTATTTAAGTGATTTCTCGATTCAACAGGTATGGCAGTAATCAGGCCTGGGTGTGGTTAGTGAAATTTAACTCAGCTTTCTAAAATAATGTGGTTAATTGCAGTTCTTTCATGATTTAACAGGAGGGGGCAATTAATTTTTCACGTAGGGCCACGTAGGTTTGGACAGCTTTTTTCCCTTAACAAATGAAATCATCATTTAAAAACTGCATTTTGTATTTACTTGCATTATCTTTGTGTAATATTTAAATTTGTTTGATGATCTGAAACATTAAAGTGTGACAAACATGCAAAAAAATAAGAAATCAGGAAGGGGGCCAACACTTTTTCACACCACTGTATATAAAAATATATACATATGTTCGAATGTTTGTTTGGGGTCAGTAAGATTTTAATTTTATTTTATTTTATTGTATTTAATTTACATTTTATTTTATAGTTTCTTATGCTGACTAAAGCTACATTTATTTGATCAAAATCACAGTAATATTATTAAATATTACCGTTTACAATTTAAAACAACTCTTTTCTCAAAGAGACGATGCTTAAACAGTTGTGCTGCTTAATTTTTTGTGGAAACCGTGATACATTTTTTCTGGATTTTTGATGAATAGAACATTTTAAAGTACATTTATTTAAAACAGAAAACTTGTTTTAACATTATAAATGTCTTTACTGTCACATTTGATCAATTAATGGTCAACTAATTAAAAAAGTATTAATAAAAAAAAAAATAACCCCAAACATTTGAATGGTAGTGTATATATAAACAGAAAAAGTTAAATAGAAGATATATTGACATATAACATCTATTATATGCTGCTGATTCCAACAGAAAATCATTTTCCCTCAGTTTGTAACAACAAATGAGACATTGTACCATTATAAATGTTAAAATGTACTATTTAACAGCCATGGAATAACATTAACATTAGGTTCTACATGTTTATAAGAGACTACCGTAATAGAATCATATAAATTATTTACACAGAGGAAAAATACACCTACAGGAATTATGTCACGTATGCATTAGACAATGTTCACCAAGAGTGACAACCTTCACATTTCTGCTTTAAAATTTTCTAGAATGTCTTGCCCCACAGACCTCCATTGTTCGTGCATCAACATAAACACAATTTAGGTTGTTCTACAAACTTAGGGATGTATTAAAATTATCTATCACTGTAGTTTAACTTTCTACTGTAGCTAGAATATTGTAGCTCCATGGTGGGCTATGATGGTGTCATGTACCACGAAACTTTAAGAAAACATAATTTTGTCAATGCTAAAGTCCTACTTGTCGTCCCTATGATCAAATGAGATCTACACCCTTGTTTGATTCCTGAATTTTAGATTAACTAGTTAGGTCTAAGCCTGGCCACGAGGCATAGGTTGTACAATTAGCAGAAACAGAGGTGCTGCAGTCACAGCGGATGTTCCTGCAGTCCAGCTGAGAGACTCAACCAACAGAGCACACTGTCAACTCAACAGCCTTAGACAGGAATAGGAACTGACAGAGCAGGAGGAGAGAGAGTGTGAAGGAAGGGGTAAGTGAAGGAGAGAGCGGAGAACAGTAAAAGTGTGGTCAGGAAAGTGGTCATTGCTATACCTTAAGTAACTACCGAAATAGGCCACAATGTTAGAGTGCTTGCAGTCTTTCATCATGATTATTTCCTGCTGAACCACTGCGAAGTCCTCGCCTGTCGAAGGAACACACAGAGAGATGGGGACAAGGTGAGAAATTACCAGCAACAATCCAATGAGTTACTCAGACAGTTACTCAGCTATTTCATTCATGTCAATGAAAAAAAGTTAACCAATTTGTGCAACATTTTGGAATCTACCATGATTTCATTATGATATTCTTTTGAGTATCATGTAAAACATATAGAAAACATATAGTACCATGGTTTTTATGAAAGGACATAGGTATTACAACCTGATACCATCATAGTAAGTTTTACTCTGTTAACTAGCCGAGAGTAATAAAAACAACTATATTTTATTACTTACAGTAATATATGCACCACTAGCATCACAAAAATTGCAGTTATCTGTTTTAAACAGGTTTATAATACACATATCACCATGTGGGAATTTATAATGTATGTACTAAACTAAACTAAAATAAGTAAAATAAATAAATAAAAATTAATATAAATATTTTTAAAATGCAATATATATATATATTAGGGGTGTAACGGTACACAAATATGACAGTTCGGTACGTACCTCGGTTTTAATGTCACGGTTCGGTATGATTTCTGTACAGCAGGAGGGAAAACTAAACTTTTTAAAAAACATTTTTTTATGGTTTACTGAACAAGTTGCTCTTTCTTTAAATACATTCAGTTATAGTTAAAATTTTCTTAGTGATAAAAATCTTAGCTTATGCTTAAAACTATAGGGAGTCCTTTTACATTATAAGGTTACAAGTAGGCATAACAACTTAACCCAAACTTAAATTTAATTGCTATTTATTTTTAAATAGATGATCAACACTCAACTTAAAAAGAAAAATAAAAAAATTGCATGCAAACATGTAAATTGCACATAATGCAGTTTTTAAATTAACTTATAAATAATA